AAATGATTTTCAAAATTTTACATTAGAAATGATTCGCACTTGTCACACAACACATGTTTTAACATTGAAAACGATCTCTCTACATCGACATAGGTTATTTGAGCAATTTCTAAATTCTCTATTATATCTGGATCTATATTTATGTTTACAAATTCTCATTTTACTCACAAGCGATACTGTACTAAAACCTACATTTATTTCCAAAACAGACTTAAATTTCTGAAAAACTTGTTCTGTTTTATAGTTTTGGAAATTTCATTGTACCCTATAAAATTTTATTGGCCGTAACGAGACGGACAGTAGTACAATAGCAAGAGATATTTACAACTTGAAGTTCTCGCGTGCCGGTAATCCCTAGATGTTAGAAAGCAAAATAATCCAGGTTCAAATAGAGACCATCGTAACTCACGGACGAAAATGACCATTATTTTATGAGTACAACCACCTGCTAAATGTTCTTTGGCAAATTCGGGTGAACTGGTGTGAGCCATAAATATTTCTTACCACTGTACTGCAGTCCGTCTCGTTATTGTCAATAAAATTTTATAGGGTAGAATGAAATTTCCAAAACTATACCTTGAACATTGGACAGTTTTTGAAAACAATTTGTTGCTAGATGAATAGAATCTGCCAGTGGTAAATTGTTGTATTCAAGTTTTAAAATTGTGTCTATAACTTTAGAAAAAAATTAGCTGAAACAAATACCAATTGAGATGGCAGTTCTGTTTTAGCTAAAATTATTTTAGATTCTTTAACAGAGGTCGCATCATCTGACAGCTCATTAACAAAATTCTTAATTGCAATGGAGTTTTTGGTATAAAATACAACTGCATTTAACCATGTTCCCCACTTAGTTACAGGTTGTGGAGGTAATGGTAAATTGAGCAATGGATTTAGATAAAATTGTAGTGTCAAAATTGATTTAACAAAATTTTTTTAACATTATTGACTTGATCACTTACTATTGGAAATAAATTTCTTATTTGCCACCTTTTTTAATCGTCAAAGTTCCAATCAACAAATTTGAGACATAACGTCCACATGAATCGGTTGTTTCATCGACATGAAAATAAATTAGATTATCGCCTATAATTTGACGAACAGCCTGCTTTGTTTTTTGGAACACTTTGTTTATGTAGTTTTTTCTTAAAGTACTCTCATCAAAAACTGACTTCATGGTAGGCTGGAGTTTGTCTTCATTATTCCAAGGCTCTACTAGTGAAATATTGTAATAACAGGTCGCGATTACGAATTCATATCATTTGGAGACCCCGGTGGGATTGCCTTTTTGCTCTTTGATAGAGCTCTTGTGACAATATTCAAAACATGGAGAAGATCATAAGAACCCTGGATCTGCACAGAACCTGATTTACGCAGATTTTCGATACAACGAATGAACTTCGCACTAAAGAAACTATAGACATGAGTTACGTATGAAACAATATACAACTCCTCGAACAGAAAATGCAGAATATTAGTCACTTCGATCAGAGATATCTCGCCTTGTTACTTGATCAAGACCCTGAAGGTGTCGAATTGGATTCTGAGATGACAAAATTAGATAAGTACATTGTAAATTCTCAGTTCTACAAATGAAAGTGGAAACGCAGGTTAATTTATCAGTAGATGTCATCATCAAAGTTGCCCTAAACTCCAACTAAAGTAGCCTCAGATAGAATTTAGAAAATTTGGTCGTGACATTCGTGACTGGTTGTCATTTTGGAGTCAGTTAGAAGAATTCACGAAGATCAGGCGCTTCCTAATCAAGAGAACTTTTGATACAAGCAACGACTCCTAAATCACGAGCACACCAAATTGTTTAAAGTTATTCACCAATGGGAGATAACTCTCTACGTACGTGAACTTTTACAACTAGTGTTAAACAACGTGAATAAATCGACGAAGCTAAGTTCTTTGTATGACCAAACTGAAGCACAACTCCGATCTTTAGAGACTCTAGGTGTGCAGTCCGACCCTTGTTCAGCTATGCTGAAGAAGTTGAAAGCGAAGAACGAGTAGCTCTGGCCGCTTCTGGTTTTGGATACGAATTCCGACGCAAGGTTTCTGCAGAAAACGTTCCTACAGTTACTGGATTATTGACGAAGAACACAAGTAAACTGCGATGCCTATTTTGCCACGAAACACACTACAACTCCGACTGCCCAGAAGCTAAGAAGAAATCTCTTACTGAATTAAAGAAAATCCTGTCGGAAAAAGGACGTTGTCATGCCTGCCATAAATTTGGACACATAGTCGTCAAATATAGAACAGCTGCTAAACTAAAGTGTCAGTCCTGTGAAGGTAAACACGTAACCCTGATGTGTTCGAAGTCTCCTAAGTTGTCAAATGGAGAACCTTCAAAAGCTCCATAAACAGAAGGCTTGTGCAACACTCTAAATAACGCTACATATTATGATAGATTTGTACAGACATTAGTGGTCAATTTAAAGGGCAAAGATATCACACGTCCAGTAAGAGCAATTATTGACACGGGATCACATCGGTCTTATATCAGCAACGGAGCAGCCAAAGAAATGAGTTACGAAATCCTTAGAACAGAAGAACTTACTCATGCTTTGTTTGGAGGTCTTTCATCTGAAGTCACTTCTCATAATTGCTATCGTGTCTATTTGGAAAATCCTGATAAAAGTTACACTTGTCGTTTTGAAGCCTTGGGACAATCAGTGATTTGTACTAATGTTTTGGGTATACGAAATGATCCATGGATGAAAGAATTCCAAAACCTTAACATCAAAATCAACGACAAAAGCCAAGCACCTATCGAAAACTTAATCAGTGCAGATCTAGCAGGAAAACTCTTCTGTGGTGAACAACATATTCTAAAATGCGGTTTAGTTGCCATGAAAACTAAACTAGACTGGACTCTGATGGGTAAAGTTGCCAGTCCCCCTCCAGATGCACAAAAATCTTGCAACATTGTCGCTCTGTCACTTGTTAACAACACCAAAATTGAGAGATTTATGGACTCATTGATGTTTTAGGTATTGAGAATCCAGAAAAGTGAAAATCTAGCCAAGAGCACGAACAAGAAATCCTTGATAATTTTCAGAAGACAGACAACCGAATGGAAGATACTAAGTCTCAGTGCCATGGATTCAGGAACAGAAACCACTACATGATAACCTGACCCTAGCCAAGACTGGTTGAAAGAACGTATAATCGAGGAGGTTAGTACATCAGTTCACTATTTACCTGATCGTCATGCGGTAAAATTATCAAGTACCACAACTAAGTTACGACCCGTGTTCGACGCATCCGTCACAGAAAAAGATAGTCCATCCCTGAACCATTGCTAAGAAAAAGGTATTAATTAATTAAGAGCCATTTTCAAGCCAGAATTAGCTGCACTAGCCAAGAAAAGGTAGCAAAGAGGGCGATAAATTGTTTACCTTTTGAGAGCGGAAAAAGTAACAGAGGGATACGAAAAGAAACTCAAAAGAGAAATTAAGAACTTAAAAAATTACTTCGGTAGAACAAACATGGAGGAAATATAAAAATGTCTTCAGAAAAAAGTAGCAAAGAAAACTCCTGGACTAAAACAAAATAATATCAAGCCTTGGTTGAGTTCTGACACCTGGCGGATTATAGAGGAAAGGAAGAAAATGCATAACAAAATGATCGACCCGAAAGAAAAGAAGTTTGAAGAAGAAAATAGTAAATACACATATAAAAGACAAAAACGGGCAAATTTTGAAATCGGACCCTGAAATTATGAAAAGATGCATGACAGATTTTAAGGGGATTTTCTCCAAACAATAGATAAAACACGACCTCAAAAATAAAGAAAACATAACAAAGAAGTAGAAATACAAGAATGGAAAATTACGAATGAAGAACTAAGAAAGAGAATCAAAACGCTAAAACCACATTAAGCAGCGGGTCTAGATGGAACCATGATGGAGCTTCAGAAGGGTGATATTGAAATTTCCACAAAAATATTGACTAAATTACTCAATAAGAAAATATAACGAGATGTAAAAATTGGCGATGTCAAACAGTGACTAAAGTCGTAATGGTACCCAAATCCTACACAGCGCGGACTTAACGGAAATTGAAAATGGTGTGCGACAAGGGTACATCTTGTCATCAACTGTCTTTCTATGATGATGACTGTACATGTTTTGAAGAGGACTGGAAATAAAAGTAGGGTTAGACTAAACAGATTCAATCATTTTGAAAATATTGAATTCGCCGATGACCTGTGCCTAATGACAAAAAAAAAACATATAAAGAAAAACTACAAACTGGTAGAACAAGAAAATAAAAATGTCAAAGATAAACAATACACCTAGGAAATTAGCAATTTTTGCTATCTCTCTAGTATTTTGAAATAAACATAAAAAAAATATTTCCCTACGAATTGGAAAAGCACAGGGAGACTTTAGTATATAACATAAAATCTGCAAATTACAAACATTGCCTACAAACATGAAATTGAGCCTTTTTAAAACTAATATAAAAACCGTATTACGTATTATCTGGATGTGAAATTTGGAACACAACTAAGGGAAATACAGAAGTTTATCTTAGGAAAATTTTGAATATATACTGGCTACACAAAATCACAAATAAAGAATTATGGAATCAACCAAACCAAAAATAAATAGCACCATATGTCCAAGAAAATGGTGCTTGGTCGGACGTAGTCGTACTCGTTACTCGTACATTTAGGGTTATGACACGTCGAGAAAATATGAAGGTAACTGGTAGCCCAATGGACTCGATTACAATAGTTCTTTAGCGTACGCTCGGAAAGTAAAAATGCATTGCTTCTGGCTTTTGTATGTTGCCAATTCAAAGTGCAACACACAATAATAATTAATATTTCATTAAATACTGGTGGTTAAGATCACGCATTTTAAAAAAGAATGTACAGTTATTGGAGAAGATAATTTATCACTACCCACTTACGGAGATAAGTTTTTTAAATACCCAAGTTATCTTATCTGCTTATACTACTCGTACCTATCGGTTTATCTAGATATCAGTCTACATAGATCGTAAAAATAAAGTGTGAATTGTAACCATTTTTTGTTTTAGCGTATACCTATCTCTTACGCCTTGTAATATCCTTTCTTTTCCAAAATAGGGAAGACTTTAATATAATGTTTTAGATTTCCAGAATGGATGATGATTTAGCAATTGGAATTGATCTCGGTACCACAAATTCGTGTGTTTCTGTTTATACGAAAGGCAGAATACGAATCTTAGAGAATGAAAGAGGAGGAAAAGTTACACCATCTTTTATTTACTTTCAACCTCAAGGTGGTATTGTCATTGGCGAACATGCAAAGACGATATCAGTTCATAAACCAGAAAACGGAATTTATGGTAAGCAAATCTGAAATTAGAATAATTTCTAATACGTGGTGACATTTGTAGAAATCAAACGGCTAGTAGGTAGAAAATTTGATGACACTTATATTCAAAAAAGTCTGGATTACTTTCCCTTTGTAATATCTTCAGACGTCTCTAACCGTCCAGTGATTTCTTTCAAGCAGAATAATACAACAATCAAGAAAACTCCACAAGAACTGTGTACAATAATCCTACAAGAATTAAAAAGATATGCTGAAGCAAAACTTAATCAAACCGTAAACAAAGCTGTCATAACCGTTCCGGCTTACTTCAACGTTACCCAACGAGAGGTCACTTTAGCAGCAGCTAAAGATGCCGGGTTCACTGTGCTTAAGCTTCTAAATGAACCAACAGCAGCGGCTTTAGCTTACTATTTGGAGAATGATATAACCGAAAGCCATATTTCTTTAGTTTATGATTTAGGAGGTGGTACTTTCGACGTTGCGGTTCTTGAAAAAAAGCTTGGTACCGTGGAAGTACTGTGCGTTGGTGGGGACACTCAACTAGGAGGTCACGATTTCGATAATTGCATTTTGGATTATATTTTCGAGGTGTTACGGAACGATTATGATTATCATGCAAAAATGGATCCAGATGATAAAAGGAGATTGCGTATTAAGTGCGAAGAAGCGAAGAAAGAACTGTCATCTGCTAACGAAGCAGTCGTCACTATAAATGGAGTGGTACCTAAACATACCAAAATAATTATTACTTTACCGAGGACACTTTTTGAAGAGAAAGCCAATAAGTTACTCCAAAGAACTATTGACATTCTACATAACTGTTTAGTCGATTCAAAAATTTCTAAAGAGTCGATTCAAGAGATAATATTGTGTGGTGGCTCCACTCGAATACCCAAAATACAAGAAATGATTTCAGAATATTTCGGAGGTAAACAATTAAATAAGTTTGTAAATCCTGACGAGTGTGTAGCTGAAGGTGCAGCCTTGCAAGCCGCTATGTTATCAACCAGCAAAAAACAGGATATTGAACAACTGGAAATGGTGGACCTTGTTCCCCTTTCGCTAGGTTATCGGAGTTTCGGAGAAGAAATGAGCTTTGTAATAAGAAGAAATACAAAAATACCGACTAAAGCATCTACAGTGTGTACAAACGAAGGTGATACCTCCAGTATTTTTGAAATATACGAAGGCGAACGTACAGATGTCAGAAAAAATCGTTATTTAGGAAAATTATTCGTTGATGGTTTAACACCGGCACCTCCCAGAGAACGAAGTATAATTTTTACCTTGGACATTGACAACAATGGGATACTAACAGCTAGAGCTGAAGAAAAAGTGTCTAATACTGTTAGCGAAGTGAAAGTAAATTACACTAGAGGTGACAGGAGTGAATTTGAAATTAAGAATTCTTTGCTAGATGCAGTAGAAAATCAGGAGATCGATAAAAAGTTTAAAAAGTTTGTTAAAATGAAAGAAAAATTGGACGCGTATTTAAGTAGTTTTTTGTATAACCTTGATACAAAGAACTTGAGTGAAAAATACCGATCAGTTCAGATATTTTGTAGTGAAAGGATGAATGACTTATATGACATGGAAGTCGATCAAGAAAATACGGTGAAAGGTCTTTATAAAGAAGTGAAAATTAAATGTAACGCAATTGCTGAGCGTCATAATTTTGAGTACATGCCTTAATTAGATATATAGGTAGCACTATTACATGTAAAATGTTTCTAAATAATTAGGTATTAGTAATTTTTCTAATAAATAACTTTTTTACAAATAAAAAAAATTAATTCCTTCATTTAATTTTTTTGAGTCATTACAGAGGTACGTCTAAAGACTAAATCATAGTTATAGAGTGATAATATTTTTGGATATTTCAGAGATGACTTATTTGGCCAAATTTTGAAATGGCATCATCAAGTTTTTGATGACTACAATAACCTTAAAATGTTCACAAGATTTCAAAGCGTTTTGATTTTTGTTTTCAAAAATTTGAATGTCTAGGGTGAAAACTCAAACAACACGCATTCATACACCACAAGTGTATCAGTATGTTATTTTATAAAATAAAACAAATCATGAATATTATTTTGGGTAAGTTGCTGTAATTATGATAACTATCTTTATTATTATTAAATATAGGGGACCGCAAAATTTAACTTTGCCCCTACTCAAATTGATATAAATGTCGTTGCTCAAATATTGACTGTCATAACATAATTTTGTTGTAGAAAACTCACTTAAAACATACGGATATCATGCTTCTTGATTTGTAGTCCACACATAGCTTTATTTTAACTTATACAGGTTACCTTAAAAAAATCTCAAAACTAAAATTTATAGTTTTTCGAAGTTGCATTATTTATTCGTTTCCCATTCAATTTGAATTTGATTCAATATACATTTATTGTAACATTTTTGGGTAAAATAATTGCCTGTTGTAAACAAAAGTAATGTATTAACGTAATGTAAACAGTTGTTTCTGATGAAAATTATATAAAAAAAATGTGCTACATAATTATGTGTCCAAAAGATATTTAATTACAGGAACTCAGCTTAAACTAACACCTCGCTAGTAAAAAAGTCTTTTTACATTTTTTAAGAAATGTTCGTTATATCTTTCGTAAAATATAGTCTAAACCTGCACCATTTCATCATAAATAGTCACTAATTTAGCAATTTCAATAAATGCAATGATCTTTATGAATGGTAAGGGTGAATCATATGGAAGAGCACGTTTTATATAAATGGTGCTTTTGTTAGTGCAGCGCTGATCAGTATCTTTTTGGATATTCCAACAGACACTTTGTATTCCAAAGGAATAAAATGTTAACCACAATATTGCAAAGAATTTTTCGACGAGTAATCATTACTCATATTTATTTTCTGACAATTGTCCTGATGGATTGATTCACACTATTATCACATTTTACAATCGTTAACCAATATTAAACGTTTTATAAAACTGACGTATTATTTCCCTCCAAAATTTCCTAAAATTAATAAAAAAGATTGGAAATTTTGTTCTGGCATTTGGACTTATTCATCGGACAAATATACCTACTTTTAACTATATACTTGAAGTTCAATATAGTTTCTTCACTCATCTTCAGAAGATAAACCCTATATCAATTGGAACACTTTATATCCCGTCTCTTCTTTTTCCTTACTGAGTAGGTATCAAGACTTCCTTCATTAATTTTCATGAGTACTGAAATGTATAAAATAAATTTGTCACTAACTCGTGGACTATACTATTGTAGCAATGTATTCCAAGTTAACAACACTCCTTGTGTTCATACTGTGAAAACACGTAAAAGTGCATTTTTTTAATTGTTCCAAGAACAGAAAAACAGGTCGTTACAACAACTATCATCCAGTTTTAGTGCTCCCATGAGACAAACCAAATAAAAGATCAAAGTGAACTCCAGCAAACCGAAAATAAGTATAACACAGGTTGAAAGCAACATTTTGTTAGTAACATATGTAATCTAATCAATGTGGTGGTGATTCCGATTCTGATAAGCTAGACATGAGGACAAAAGTAATGTCCGTCGCCTGCGGACTACCGAAAGTACCCAAACCGAGAAAGGCGATATTGGTTCACAACTGGAAACATTCATCTCCCAGTTCCTATGAAACAGAAACATGTGTGTCTTAATTCTTTCAGCTTTGTTGTTATGTAAAATTACAATAACAAAATTTAACCATAATCAAATCAAAAATAAGACATGAACCTGTATTTGTGTTCTCTTTAAATAAAAAATGTAGTATAATCCTGCTTTTTTTATTGTTTTATTAAGTAAAAAATCAGGAATATTACAGGTGTGTTTTATCGTAAACAACACATAATTTTCTCCATTTGTGTGTGTGTTTTTTTTTGTAAACTATTTTTTACCATACAATCCAATTTTCAGATGAAGAATTCCCTAATATGGTACCTATACCATTATTTATTTTGCTTTTGGAGACAGCAATTATAAGAACATTGAAATTAATTAGATACAATATTATGTGTTCTTAAATGATAGAAACAATATAATAATACAGAAACTTAGACTATATAACAAAAGACTTACAATATACAAACATCTCGCAGAAAAATTCATAACACAATTTTTTAACAATGAAAAATTGTTCCATCGAAATTTATCTAACGCAGAAAAAACTCAAATAACAGTAATTCTCGTTGATCCAAACTCAAAAGAACAAGACATTTTCATTCTTATATCTGTATTAAGGCAACGGGACATTCGTAAACGGAGAATGCGTGTATTATTGCAAAAGCGTTGACGAAAGCATGTTACAGATGGTGGACATTTTTAACATTTGCTGTGATGTTTATTCACAATAACTTTGTTTCTTTTTATTGTAACGAATTAGTTTTATTTTGTAATAAGATATGAAGCATTTAGGCGACCAGTTATACAGATCCGTGTGGTATTTGTTGTGAGTCCTTGGCCATTTAGTAAAGTCCATATAAAGTGATAGGCGGCACCCTTCCATGACGTATTTCAATCCTATAATCATTTACAGAAACCCTCTACATATGCCACGATTTCATGAATATTGGCTGAGCCACAGTCATTTTGGTCTATTTCATCCGAACAAATAGGATTTTTCGTTTGAGAGGAAATAGGGAAGACATTTCTTGCAACTAACTAGATGAGGCACACTTCGACCATAATGTTTGCAGCTACTTGATATAAAATCCGGAGATAAGAACGCCCGCAGACGCTGTTCATGGGCTCGCTTAACTCGATATGTGTAACCAAGGGTTTAAAAAATGTCTGTTAATGAGTGGTACATGTGTGTTTTTTATTATCAGTATGTGTTGCCACTGCAAATGTGATAATATGTATATTGGTTCCAAGGTGTTTACAACAATCGTCACAATTTCATTAAATTTTAGGCAAATTAAATTCACCAAACGTTCGCATCGGGACAATGACTAATAGAGATGAATATTCACACTGTAGTTCGCCTGTGTGTCATAGATTTAATCCAGTAATGTGAACCGCATTAGGAACGAAACGACCACCGGTCATTTGCTGAATTAACCCACATTACCTGGACGCTCTATTACCTGTAAAAATCTTACGTCAACCATACGATGATTCATTTCACGGAACCCAGCGAGCTTCTAAGCTTTATTCAATTAAAGAAACATTATCGATGATTTTGACAAGGATAGCCACCAATTTATCAGATGATGATAATGTATCCCGTATATAGGTTCCTCTGGCTCAATTTGCTTGTCATTGTTTGTTAACGGCAGCCTCGGTGGTGAATGACAGTGATGAGAGGTCTTAGTTCAAGGGCATTCGAGGGGGTTATAGGTCATATGTCCATCAAAGTAAGCGCGTGAATGTTGAAGCGTCACTCATAAACCTGGCTTGGCCATCATATCTGAAGAAATTACATCACTTTTCAGTCCGGATCCGCCACAGACCGAGCTTAATGCACGCATGAATAGGAGAAACGATGACTGAAGTTGCAGTATCATGTATGCATGTCAGGTTCTTGGTGGAATGTTGATTGGCTGAAAACAAAAATGAGAGATGTAATTAACGACTGGCGAGCGCACGAGCCTTCAAGTGTCATCGAAGTCATTCGACTGCTTATTTAATTATTTTACTTTTACTGTGCAAGCTGGTTAAGGATATGGAGCGGAAATGGTTAAAAAGCTAGTTGTGAAAGTTTTGGGCGCTATGTCGACGATAAATTTGTGCGTGGTTAGTCACCACGAACATACAAATTGACACATACAAACTATAGTTATTTATAATGTAATAGAGTTTATAATATTACATTTGTCATGTCTAGTTACGTTAGTGAAACTTTATGATTAAATTTTAACTCGCTTGTATAAGATATTTGTAGCTGGGTTGTCGCTTTTCAGGGTTTGACCCGGAGACTCCAGCTTTTGAAGAATTATTTCCGGGTTGCACGTTTAGATATTCCCCAGAATTGCGTGAGTGACCCGAAACGATTTAGACCGTTTAAGGAAAACATTACTTTTCAGGTGTGAAAGTGAAAATCTAGAATAATTTCGAAAATCAGAATAGTAAATCCTACTTAAAATATCATTTAAAAAAAAATTTGGCGGCAAAAAATGCAAATTTTATTTAACTGCAAGAAACAACTGAGATTTTACACAAATTTCATAAACCATAACATACTCAGCTCTAATTATTATTATTCTATATTTCAAACGGTTTAAAAAAACCCAAAACTATCGCACATATGACTGTAAAATTTTATTTTTAGTTTAGAATTATTAACTAACTTCTCCCCAAACTTTGTCTGTTTACCCCCAATAAAAAAGTGATGACTTCAGGTTAGCATTTTGTAAATTCTGTTTCAGCGGTAAAATATAATATTCCTGTTATATATGTACCTGAAAGAACACATAATTTAGGCGGCAACACATTTGAAATATTAATTTTAAAAGATTTATTAGAAAATAAATAAAAATGTGTAATCAGTTGTTTTACTGGCCAAACTTTAAAAAAATATCTGCTTTTTTTATCGATTATCTTGATACATTTCGAAAGAATTGGAAACAGTCTATATTTAGATAACTTTATCTTCCATATAAGTGTTTAGATATATCTGTATCTCAATAATTTTAAAAGTATCTGTCCCCAACATTGGCCGCAAATATTGCACAAACCTTTTTGTGAACTAATTGTGACTAAAAATCACGGTTAACTCATAAATCATAATTATAGGAATACATTGTTTTATAAAATTTAAATAATGTTGAATGTAGAACATTTTGAGGTGACGTCGTCAAAATGTTGGGGGCGAAGATTAGACAAAATCTGATTAGCGTTTTCCTATCTATACGATATTCATAATATGCATTTAAAATTAGACAAAAATGGGTCAAGTTGTTTCCGAGATTATCTGTCTAAAATAAATTGAGACAGACGGTAGAATGGCAAAACACAGACAGACAGACCAGCGGAAATGGGAGACGTATTGTTTCGTATAATATTTCGTAGGGTTCATGAAACCTACAGAAAACATGAAAAAAGCTATTCGTCAAATTGACAATATTACATTTTTCCCTAGCTTACGACTGGGAATAAAAATAACAAAGAACAAACGAAATAACAAAAACAAAATTAATATTAAATAACTACGTCACTGTCTGAACTAAAGGACCTCACCTCAAACTTCAAAAAGGTAATTTCCAAATCAGACTTAGACAGAAATTCCTACCAAATAAAGTTTTTGATCTTTAGAACTCAGTACTGGATCATTTAGTTTTTATTATCATCACCATTTAAAATTAATTATGATTATTATCACCATACCGAACAACTTTATACTGCCATTTTTATTATAATTATGGGATCATAACAGGTTTGACCCCTGCCCAAACGCATTTAATTAATTAATATTATTAAATAATACTGTTTTGCAAATTTTTTAAATGGGTATTGGTCATATTTTGCAAAAAATTGTTACTCACCTTAGTAGGTTACTGTTCAATGTGATTATAAACCTTTCGTTTGCAGTAAACTTCGTTATACTCATATTTTGATAAATAGAATATTTTGTTTCATTAAGTTGCTAGATTTTTTCTTAAATTTAGTTCATTTTAACAGTTCTTCTAGACGAAAGAAATACATGAAAACATTTATAAAAATATGTTCATTCACTAGTATTTAAAATAAATGTATTTTAATGAACATAAATGTAATGTAAGTTTATCAAACCGACTTTCAAAAGCAAGCTTCGTCAAAAACAAAATTTTCAATGTATTAAAATACAAGTTGTTTTATTTTTAATACAATGATAACAGATGAATCGAAGCACTCTGTACGAACTAAAAATTATTAGATAAGCGTTTCATCTTCTACAAGACAAATAAAAAGCATAATATAAAATTATAGACTTTCCTGTTTTAAATTGCAGAATAGTGAATTGTTAATCATTAGTAAGTTTCTAAATGAAAATGCAGTTATTTTAAGGAGTATTAATTATAATATTCTAGAAATATAGAAGAGATTCCATTTAGAAATACGTAATTTTGATGTGTAACCCAGACATCCACTGCGCTGGAAAATATTTTTGAATTATATACCCGAATGGGTTCTGTCAGGATGTATAAAAAAAATTCGCTGTTGAATAGATCTAAATATTAACGTGTAACGAGAACACTGAGGTTTAGCGAAGATAATAGGACAATATTTAAACATGAAACCGAAATGTTGTCAACTCCACCTGTTAAAACTGAATATGTAAATAAATATAAAATATAAACTTTCTTAAACCAGTGTCTGTTTAAGGAAGACACTGGCTTCAAGGTATTAAAAAGTTGCCTTCAAAGTGGGACATTAATAATATTAACAGAAAATGACCAAACCAAAGTAATTTTAAAATTTATTTATTATGTGACGAATTTGCTACCGAAAAAGGTGTGATGTTTTTAAAATTTGAGAGGGAATATTTGCTCTGTGAGTTTTGTGTTGTCACTACGTAAATAAATTAAATTATATATTATGCTTGATTAAATCGTTGTTTATGTACCAAGGGCATAATGAAGATGTATACATTAAAGGCCAATAACGTTAACAAAATCGAGGGTCTCTGGCCCGATTTATGCCCGTGGGGCATACAAACTTTTACTTTTTACGGGAAAATAAAAAAACATTAATTGTTTTGAATTGGAAGATGGAAAATTCAGTAAATCTTATTAGCGAGACAGTTATGATGAGTTCCTTCCAAGAATTGATAAGTTATTTAATTTATAAAATAATTATTTTAATGTGTTCGTCATTTGTAGTCACAAAAATATTCATCCAGTTTCTTATGGTCAAAATACTCGCTGGTCAAGGCAACTTTAATAGCAAGCGACAACACAGACATTTCTAAAAACTCAAAAGGTTATGTGGCAAAAAATCCCTAGTTTTGACTGGCGAACAAGTCATGCAATCTCTAAAAGATGCCCCGAACGACAGATATTTACTTCATAAAGTAAATTAAGTTATTTTTTGATGATTATAAGTACTTAAATACGAATGTTTTGTGCATTAAAGGTAGTTTTTGTGATGGATCTCTTTGGAAGTTTAAGGAGAGATAAGATGGTTAAGTTCATTGTAGACGATATTCAAGATAAAGGGAAAAACGGGTGAAACTAAGGCCCGGTTTTACAATGCAAGCTTAAGCGAGGTTCAAAGATAAGCCTTGGTTCAACTGCAGTTGTCCGTTTTACAATACATGGTTCAATGTTAAACCGCGCTCAAACGAAGGCTCAGCTGAGCGCTGATGTCAGGGTGGTTTAAGCTTCGCTCAACTGTCCATAACCTCAAATGTCTGTGCTTTATCGTTTTGGTGGTGTGACAGCATTATAATTGAAGATGGAAAATTTATTAGGAGTATTAACTGACGATGAAGACGTTTTAGAAATGATAAACATATTAGAACCGGCACGTATGCGACGACCAAAAGTTTTTCAGTTGAGAGAAAATCACTTTGAAAAGTGAAATGCTGGGGAATTTTTGAAACGATTTCGTTTTTCCAAGGCTGGCGTACGGTTTATTTTGCAACAAATACAGGAGCAAATTACATCGCGAACAGAAAGAAATCATGCAGTATCACTGGAGCAAATGCTACTTGTGACTTCACGTTTCCTTGCCACTGGATCTTTTCTGCAAGTTGCTGGTGACTTTATAGGGATTAGTAAAGCAACAGCTTCTCAAATAATTAATGTTTTGGGGTGTGGAAAAGACGCTTTCCAGCATTGGCTTTTGGAATTCGTTTAAAAATGTGTAAATTAGAGGCAGTGGTTGTGGCAACAGCAGTTTTACACAACATTGCAATTATTTTAAATGAAGAAGAACCGCCAGTGGACGCAGAAGAAGAAGCAGCAGTGAATTTTGTGAACGATGTTCTAATTGAAAACATTGGAGAATATAGTGGCAATTATAATCAGAACAATTTTGTACGGAACCAGTTCATCAGAGAATATTTTACTCATTTGCTTTTTTTGATTTCGTTTTTAGTTGCAGTAAATAATAAAATGTAATGTAATTATTTATTTAAGTTTTATTATTTAAAATATTAAATTTTTGGGCAATTAATATTTCAATCTTCATTTGGTGTTCTGCTTTATTACTTCTAATTCAAGTGCAGCTTTGTCTCTCATAATTTGCATTTCTAGTTCATGTTTCTCTTTCATGGCTTTTAATTTAAACTCTTGCTCCTTTTGGATGTATTCCTTTCGACTTAGTTCGACAAGTTCTTTGGCAGCGGCACATTGCTCTAAATTATCACTTGTCTGGTTTCCTTTACCTATACAAACAATACATTAATAAAGTTTTAAGACAAGTGTCAAACATTTTTTAATATAAATATATATACATATAATACCTCTACGATATGGCGTGAGTGCTGAAAATTTGTTTTGCTTCAAGATTTTGGGGGAGTATTTAGCCCAATTCCCAGTTTGACCATTTTCTACAAAAATAACCATATTTGATTATTATTAATGTTTACCACTTTCTTTATTGGGACCACTTATTTTATCCATAACAGGCACTTCTCTCGAAATTGCTCCGGTTTGATCTTTTGGCATAAAACAATCTGAAATAAAGAAAAAATAGTAAAAAATTTCTGAATAAAGTGTATGTAAGGATAAAAAGTATTTACCATCATTTTCGTCATCAGACAGATTATACCGCTGTTACTTTGGAATGCTGAAAAGCATCAACATTTTAATTTTACAATACATATTATTCATAAAAATACTTATTACAGGTTGTTTCGGAATCGCCATCAAATTCGCTGCTATGCCCCATTGGTTTGGCCCCGAGAATTTCTTTTACAGCCACATCAACATCGGTGGCCTCAATACTTTGTTGTGACCCTCTCCCAGTACCACCGACATAGGCTTTCTCGTCAGCAAATTTTTTCGTTGTCCTCTTCTTAATGTTGTCGTACTTTTTGTTCAAAACTTTGTGATCCCGGAAGGTCTGGCCAGATAAAGAATTGAACTCTACTTCAATTTTCTTCCAACACTGATTTTTTTTTTTTTGATTTGCATCAGTGTTGGACAATTTACACTCCAGAATATTTCTATACTTGCTTACTAAAGATAGGAGCAAGTTTTCTTCGGATTTTGTAAAATTCGGAGCACGTGTATTACTCATCTGAAACGAAATGTTAAAAACCATCATAATCATCTACTATTAACGAGCAAATGTTACATATACACATATACGTACCCCAGTAACGCAAAAAACTAATTACTTTGCAGAATTTGTCACAAATAATTTATAATAATGTGACATGATGACATAGATGACAACAACAACACACTTCCAACGTGCTCCCAACGTGGTCTCAACTGTCAGATTCTCGGGTGCGCGCTACCAACCTAAGGAAATTTGTGGTTCAGCTGAACCGGACGATAGCGGTGTTTGTAAAACGGACGCATGAATTGAACCTCAGTTCAGTTGAACTCAAGTTCAGTTGAACTCGTGTTGAACCGGACATTTGTAAAACCGGGCCTAAAAGATTTACTATTGTTGAAAAAAAAAGAAATTGGGCTTTAGAAATAGTTCGAAAATATGCTGCATTAAAACCAAAGTCAATATCAGAGCATAGACATTTCGTAACAATCAGTGTACCAGACAACCAGTTTACAAAAACACGTTAGGTAGTGTACCAATGACTATTGCAAAATTTTTGAATTTAGAAAATGCTAAAAGATATACGGGTCATTGCTTCCGACGCACCTCTGCAATATTGTTGATGAAGGCAGCTACTTTATTGGAACCTTAAAATTACACGGACAAGGTAACAAAATCTTAGGCCTCCTCCAAAGCAGAGGACAAGAATAACCGAAAAGACTTATGCATACAACAAACAGGTGAGAGAATCAAATACACATGACTCTGGATTTTTACATAATAATTTATTAGGTACCAGCAGAATGGTGGTAGACGCAAAGACAATTGCAACAAGAACCCGCGAAGAGTTTAAGTTTACCTGAAAATTTTGGCATAAATAGCAAGTTTGAAAATTGTAATTTATATTTCCATAATTAAACAAATTGCCAAAAAAAATGTAGTTAAATAAAAAATAAATTTTTAAATTTTTGTTTAATTCGATTTATCAAAGGGGAAAATGTGAGGGCATAATAATTCGTTGTCTGCTCATTATGCCCCGGGTATAACAGGCCGCTTTACGTCCATCAAATCATGGATATAAAACAAACATTAAGACGAGTGAAAAATAAATTAAATTACCCATTGGTACATCTGCATCACATTTGTGTGAAAAGTGTCAGTTAATTTTGATGTTAGAATATGCTGAAGTATGTTTTAATATTCGGACTAAAATGCCGCCTGAGGTGATAAACGTATTGCAAACCTTTTCCATTGTTTTTGTTTTGTTAACGCAAATTGGTTTGTAGAAGAATTTTTGGCAGAAATTTCAGTTATAAAAAAGATCTAACAGTTTATTTCAAATATATTAGTAACAAAATAACAAAGTCAAAAGCTCCGCCACGCAGGAAAGTCATGAGTCGACATGAATATTTTTTTTGTGGTGTTTGTTAAAAAATTGTCGTGATTTCACGAAAGAATGTGAAAAACTGTAATATATTCTCAGGATTACAACTGATTTTTGAAATAATTCGTAAAGTAAGAGTTCTTTGAGACCAGGGGTGCGATTTTGTTTCTCGATCGAAGTGATAAATTATCACTTGCGATAAATGTCATTACGTAGCTTTTAAATGCAAAAGTTTACATTTATTCTTTGCGTATAAGCTTATTAAATGCTCAAACGTTTACAATTACCTTAATTTTAAGAACTCATAACTCAGAATTACGATTTTGAACTTCTATTTTGACATTAATTTCGAGGTTATGTATCCAAAATTTATCACTTTACTCAGAGCTATCGAGCAAGTATCACTCCATGAAGACGTGATTTCGTGACAGAATCGAGAAATGTGACAGAAATGTAGCCTCTCAACCAATCAGCAAACGAGATTTTATCGCTATCGAGTTTTTTTCGATCGCACCCCAGACCTATTTTAAAATGATAAATATAATTCAAACAGAAGATAATATTTTTGGTGCTTTATGAAAGCTTCAAAGAATTGTAAAATTTTATGATTTGCAATACTGAGATGACATAATTTTTCGAACACAATGAAATGAAATTTTGGAATAATACAAAAAAAATCATAGTTAAATGGTTCCATTACATTGCGATACATGAAAGGGAATAATTCTTAGATTTCTGACATATATTTTAAGCTCGTAATACAAAAGCTCTCTCCTGTTTATTTCTGCACAATCAGATTTTTGTTCTGAATGCAGGTGACAAGTTATTCCAAGGAATGTATAGGTTTTTTAAGTTCTGTGGAGCTGAAAAGTTCGCATGTAAGATGTATTACTTTTTCTCTGTACTTGATTTGTAAAAGTACATGTCAACTCGCTGGCACTTCAATATATCTAGCTCAAGTTAATGTGACGTCAGCGGGGTTAGTATCGCAGCCAGTATTAAAATCACCCGCTGTTTGAAAAACTATCTTGGCCCGCAGCGGTGGCACTTTACACAGAAACAGAGGGTATTGTTTTCCTGCGAAGAACAACGCAGACCCCCATTAATTCGTCTAGACGTCCATAAATACATATTTCACTAAGTTTTCGTTTTCACAAATGAGCGCCTTAGTCGGCCCCGCCTTCCGGAAAATAATCGCCAACTCTATCGGAATTTCGGTCGATTCGCTTTACCGAAATTTATCGATTCATTTAGCCAGAATTCGCCGCACTTATTTATGGCCAAGGTTCGGTTGTAATTTTAGTCCGTATGTCGTTGCTCATTAATTTATCAGGGAAACAATGCGAATAAGTTGAGCCCCTGACTGCGAACGCGTCGGCGGCCATTTGGCAGTCGGGCCAACATAACAACTCTCAACGGGAGACCTTTCTTTATATTCTGTCAAGTTTGTTTCCGCCGGTCGTGTCAATTAGGACCTTTCGCCGCCCTCGGCCCCCGCAAATTAATCAAAAACGGAATTATTGCGGCCCCGAGGAAGTGCCAAATTGCTCTCGAATTTCTCACCTGACAATTAGGCACAATTGTCGTTGTTGATGGGAACTACGCACGCTATTGATGATTAGTGCGTTATTATTAGGGAATAGTGAGGCAAAAAATTCTAAGTCTAAGTGTTTCCCTAAATTCGAATTTCAGCTGGTTTACATACTTATAATTTTACATCTGTGACGAAAACACCAGCCTTTACTTTCGTATGTTTGCAATTTTTGAATTTAAAATAAGTATATGGTATCTAAAATAAATCTAAATTTTGTGTGTGTGTTTTTAAATGATGTCTGATTTAAGAGTTTTCCGATCAACAGCTTTCACAACGAACATGGTCAAATTAAAAAAATCGCAATTCAATTTTTTAAACATTGAGGAATGTAATTACACATACAAATCTTACATAATCCAAATCAACTTAAGGGCAATTAAATCTGTCAATTGACAGGTGTCGCATCTTATTTAAATGGCACACCTCTATTTTATAACATCTTTGTTTTTTGTTACCAGGTTAATTATTGGAGTTGGAGATTAGTGTAATTCCAGAAAACTATTGGGACAAGACTTCACAAATTTAATGTTAGAAGAAAGGTTACTTTGAGGAAAATTTGAAAATGTCATAAAAGGCAACTAAGTATAATAAAAGATCTAAAACTGTAAAAAATGTACGCTATTACGTTAAAAAATAATGGTCTAAGATTATTTAAATAGAGCTTCCGTCGCCCCTGAAATACTGTCCAACAAATCTAGTTTCTGATTTTGCGAAATCTTCTTTTTGTGCGGTTGTCTTACATTAATATAAAAGGTTGCCATACGATTTGAATTATTTTTTTGACAAAATTTGGATCCTAGAGTAACTAGACAAGGCGAATTCATAAACCAGAAGTAAAGTGTATGTTATTTTATAAAATTTTATTTATCATACAAAGTTTTAAGATGACGTCATCAAATTATTACTGGAACTAATTAGACAAGTTTTACTTAGCGCTTTACCATTTGCAGAATATTCGTATACAAATGTAAAGTTTGACAACATTCTGTTTGTTAAAAAATGACAGTCAACAGACAGACGACAGTCAGAATTGGAAGACCTATTTTTTCATACTCTAGAAGTTATGTAACGTCGAAAAAACCTGAAAGTAGGCATTTGCCGGGTCGAGCGTAATACAATACTTCCTTAATTTACGGCTAGGAAGTAATATAATTACATATATTCTCTAATGTTTAAACGAAACATCTTGTATATTTGATAAAAATTTTGCACTGAAGCCTTGTCTCAAAGGTTACAATGCTTAATTCATATTCAAATCCTTATACTTGTACAGTGATTAAATCGGGTTGTTATGTCACTGACGTTTTTAGATTTTGAAAAAAATTCCCAAGCTCAGTACACTAATTGATAATCCACTTAAGAAATGGTAATTAATGCCATTTCTTAGACAATATTTCGCCTTTCCTGGATGTAATATTTACAGACAGCACATATTATTTGCTATAAGTATTCACATTCATATTTTTTCTTCTTTGGGTACAAAATTTCAAATGTTAGCAATAAGAAGAAAGGTAAGATATAAATTTAAAAAGAGAAATAAAATGCAGATAAAAATCTTCAACAAATCCAGCTTCTTGGAAAAATTATACTTATTTTTGACCCCGTCCTACCCTATAATAGGAAAAAATAAGAAAACTCCTCCCCCCTTTTATCTTACGCAAGATGAAAATATTTTTGAACCGATTAACCTTAAGGCTCCGCCACACAGTCATTAAAAGATGCCAAAATAAGGCAAAACGCCAACCCATTTTGCGCCTTTATTTTAACAGTTGAAGAGCAGGGCGATACATGTGCGTGCTCATGACATAAAAATCTTTAAGGAAGCGTCTTATATTTTTTAAAAAACACAGCAGTTTTTAAAATAAAAAATAAAGTGCGTGAAACCCCAGCGGATTTTTAGCGAAAACTATAACTCGGTGTGCTTTTAAAAAATATCGAGGTGATAGAGAATTTTTTTCTACTTTAGGCGCCATTCTTCGTTTTCTGTTAAAATTTTACTTCTTTTAGTTATTGTAAAAAAACTGCAAAGCATTTTGGGCAAATTTTGGTAAGTTAGGCAACCCAAAATATTAGCTGAAGCGGTAAGCTGTAATTTATGGCCCACACAATAGAGCACCTTTTAAATACCTTAAGCTTATTTGATCACCCTTTGAAGTACCTGACAATAGCATTAAGAAGGATATATATATCTTTTAGTTATGTGCACTGGACCCTGTTATACCTGATACATACCTATAGTTGTGGTTCGGGTTCAAACTAGGTAATTGTAATATAACTGCATTTATTGAACAATAAATTAATGATTTTATTTTTAATAGCTCTTTAATATTTTTACTGCAGACCGCATATGAACATTTAATCTCTGCAATTGAATTAGAATTTATTAACCCATCTGGAGAAGCTCC